TGCTAATGTTTGCCGCTATCAATAATAAATATTGACTTTTAGACTTAGCCATCTCCATTCGTAGAGCACCATTTCTTCACTGTTATGGGCATATGGATGAACAATGGTTGTTCTCCATATCCATATGATGAAAGCTGCCACTGATGCACAACTGCAGGGACCTGATTAATATGATCACGTGGACTGAGATGTTGTGGACTGTGGGGTTACGATTTATCAACCTGGACAATCAAACACACAGTCAAGAAAAACACCATAACAGATCTCTCCTGTCACTGCCGCATGAAACCTTCTAGCTCAGATATGCAACTACAGCATAACTGGAGTGGGCATTATGGGATGCGAGTACATTTAATGAGCTTTCATCTGCATCCACCACTGCTGAAAAATCCTGCTCACACCAAGAATCCAAAGCTTTGATCTGTCTATCATGTGATCACTTTTGATAGCTAGTTATGTGCCTGTCTTCCCGGGTAACGTTTCATCTTGGAGAGACTGATTTATTAAGAACACAACTAAATGCAGGCAATAGTTTCTTGAGAACCCCACGTGCTGTGCACAATGCAATGCCCCCTGGCCTAATGCAAAACATGCAGGATTTCATTGTGTAAGAAAGTTATATGCAGTACTCAGATTTAAATTGGATTCCAAAGGAATATAAAACACATAAGAATAAAAATAATAATAATTCAGAGATTTCATTTTCTACCATTTAACACTTTCAGGGTCTATAAGGTCACGGGGGTCAATTCCAGGAGCCAACAAGTAGAGGCAGGGTACATTGTGGACAGGTGGCTAGTCCCTTGCAGGGACACATGTATCAACAAACAACCCTTCACACTCACATTAGTATCTATACCAACTTGATTAATTAATTTATGATTAATGTCTGATTAATCTAATCCTTTAGACTGTGGGAACTGGAGTAGTCAGAAAAAGAATGTAAAATCCATAAGAAAAGAGCATTTATTACCACCAAGGATCTAACCAGTGACCTGCTTGCTGTAAGGCAAGAGCCCAAACACTAGAGTGTGGCCCATGGAAAAATCTAACAGGGCCAACATGTAAAATGTCTCCCCTTCAGATTGCCAAAATGATTTACAGGTAGACAGGCACTGGTTCTTCATGCTTTGATTAATTCTCTAGGATACTCTTCAGCAAATAATAAAAAAAAAACAAAACAGGCCATATCACTGACTCTCTTCTGGTCATGCTGACAATAATCTTTTAACTGACCACATCAGCTCTGAGCACCATCACACAGAGACACATCAGTATGACAAATCTCTCTTTAGTGCTTGACGTGACCTCAGCATTACACCGTCTCACACCCCAAAGTGATTTCACATTTGTGAAGCACAGCCTCTGTTTTGGCCACGGCCACTGTCACTGCTGATGGGTCAAGGCTGCGAGCAGCTCAAGGTTTCCTGCCTGGCCCAATGTTAGCACACATGATTCACTGCTTCCTCACACTGAAGCCCCTGCTGCTGCTGCTGCTGCTGCTGCTGCTGCTGCCGCGTCCATGCTTCCTGCCAGTAGGACGACAATTCACAGGAGACATCATCTATGCCACAGGTTGCACACGCCGACAGGAGTAAGAAGACAGAGATATGAATGTGTGTGTGTGTGTGTGTGTGTAGAGGAGAGAGAGAGATTCAGCAGACATGAAGAAGAGCTAGACAGCTAGATCAACCACATCAGAATCATTCATGGCTTTGCATACTAAATGCTACTTGCTTGAAAGACTGCAGGCCTTTATGGGATACTATATTTGGCTTTCTGTAAGTGCTCTGTGGACCCCTTTACATAAAACAAAGACCCTGAACTGAAAGACATATGATGTCAATCACAAGTTGCAGGCTTTTTTGTGGATTGTGGTCCTGTGTCATGTATGACTCTGCCTGCTAAAATTAGCTGTCTCATTCATCTTTCTAAATGATGGACTCGGTGATAAAGGGGCTTCTGATAACAGTCGGCATATGGTTTGCCATATGACTCCAGGGCATTTGGTGTCTCACAGTCAAACATGACATTCAGACCTGCTTTGACACAGCTGATGCAGCACGTTCTCCTTTATGGGGACATGTGATTCCCAATGAGCATGATTTATTCCCGATTTATGATCATCACTATTCTACAAGGTCATGATTGCATTGGATTTCAGCAGAACCCACTCACCATACACTCCTTGGCAACGGATGCTCTCCACGACCAGTGCCAGCAGCCCCAAAACACAGATAATAAGATCCATCCTTTTCACGTTAATCTCTGCATATCCTCCTGTCACTGGTGAGAAGTCCTGTCTCCGGGCTGCTGTAGCCTAACAGAGGTGCATAGACTCAGCACGATCCTGCACCACGCTCCGACTACTTTATTCTCACTATACACTGTAACGGTATTTATGTATGCAGGAGGCAAACGGACACTGCCATCAAGTCAAAAGGCGCAGCATTCGCTCCACGGACACGCCGCGGAGGCTGGCGCGGGGAGTGGGCTGCAGAGAGCCCGGCCTTAGCACAAACACCTCCTCTCCTCGCCTGCAGGTGGGCTTCTTACTCACAGAGAAACTGTCTTGTCTTTAGTGGTGACTTCCCAGACTGGAAACCAAGGCGGCACTCAGGGGTTGTTGACTGCGGTTGGATGTAGGTTCGGTTCCCACCAACATTGCTGCCCTGTTCCAACTGTGGCCACGGCTGGCTCCGTGGAGGATGGAGATGCTGCTGCTGATGCTGCTGCTGATGCTGCTGCTGATGCTGCCGCCGCTACTGCACTGACTGCATGCTGTCAAACGGAGCCTCTGCTGTACCAAAAATTGGAAACCCGGTGAGATCCTCTCCGATTCGATCTCTTTTACGAGATAAACCGCTGGTGGCGATGCTTCGGTGCGCACTGTCACAGTCACATCACGACTGCAGCCCGACGCCGTGCGCTCGGCTCATCTCTCCGGTTGGCAGTGACAAGGGGAGGGTCCAAGTCAGTCTGTCAGTCCGGTGGATGGTTCCTCCGCTGCGCCTGCTGCGTCGTCGGCGTTTAGAGACTTTTCTATTGCATCCAAGCGACAGTGTGAGCCGGATGTGTCCACCGTGGAGCCAGTAAGGCATCAGTCACGTTGCGCAATACGTGCTACGGAGACCGAGTGGCACCGCAAACGGTCTGTGGCTACGTCAAGAGGTGCGTGGCTTCCAGCGCTCATCTGTATGGGAGGCTGTGCTCAGCGTCAGGAAAGGCAGGAGAGGCGCAGCTGCTGGATGCTGATGGGAGGGGGAGAGGGAGAGGAAGAAGAGGAGGGTTGGGACCACTGGAATTCAATAGATGTGGCATTGACAGAGCCCTGACATTAAGGCAGTCTTTACTATTGCATGGATGTTACTACATAAAGAGGGACATAAAAAAGAGTTTTATGTCACACAGAGTATTCTGTCTCCATACTGGACGTTGTGTTGGTCAAATATGCATCACTGCTTCTAGAAAGTTGTTGATGACCCACAGACAGTGACAATACTACTCTTTCTTGGCACCCAAGTCCAAATAGTCTCCATCCCAAACCCCATCTGCCCCTTAAGATTTTCTTTACATTACAATAGCACACATAGAAGTTCAAATAAAATATTGGTGAATAAACTGAAAAGAGAAATATATAATCTGTAATATTTAACATTTTTAAACTAACAAAACAATTATTGTTCAATTGATAAAATGTAAATAGTTTTAGGCACCATCAGAACAACAGAATACAGACAGACTTGGACCCAGAACTACTCCTCTTCTCTCAAGGACTTTTTTTTACAGTTTAAGTAACCAACAAACAACATCTAAGGCACTAACTTTACTATCTTGCATTTTAAAGGTCTTGTATTTTCATTATGTTACCACATAAGACCAAACATTTAATAAAATCACGGTTCGTCCTCCTCTTTTAAAGTAGGTTGGAGTTAAAGACCTAGTCCTCAAGTTTTTGACATTGTTTTTCGGTGTAAGTTAGGTTAAATGTTTGCCATAAATCAAAATCTAACTCTATTTCACCCGCTGTGACACCATTGAAGGGTCATTTGAAGCAAAGGGAATGTCCTCAAAATACTTCTTCCTGTGGACAACTGGTCATCAGTGAGAGTGTGTGATTTGGCGCCCTCTATAGGATTTAAATAAACCAACTCATCATTCATCCATTGGCGTTTATGTCCAATTTGTGACACTGTTAATTTGATTGTAGGTTTTTATAGTTTGACATTGAAATAAAGATGACACCATGGTTATGATTATTTGCATCGTCAAATTAAAGTCTTTGTTCTTATGCCTGTAGTTTTTAATACTGCATTCTCGGGCAAATACCTTGTGAAATGTATTAAGTGGAGTTCATATTTGATATATAGTAATCTAAATTTAATTTGAGGGTCTGAATGATTCATCTTTTCCATTTATTTGATTCTGTCATTAGTGCGGTGTCAGGACAGAGGGTGAGCAACTCCAATTATTATATTATAAAAAAAATGATTCAAGGCTTCTTTTTCACAAGCGACTGATCTTGTTTGTGTCAAGTGAAGAGCTCTGTAATTTATCTCATCTTGGACGCAGGGTTTTATCTATCTCTTCCTGTCAGTCCCTTTAGCAGGAACAAAGATGACCAGCTGTTGATTCAGGCACAAGAACAACACAATTCTTAGAGTTAAGATGATTTTTTCTCAGTACATCTCACTGTCTCTCAGCTCATTTGTTCCTTCATTAATTGTCTTCTTAACTCTCGTCATTTCAGAGCCCATACACATCTCCCTGCGTTTTTCAACAGCCGAATTAACTTCTCTGCCCGTCCTCATTTGCTCGACTGTTCCTCATTACCTCATCAGCACTCTCATTTATACTATCTACTACCTTATTTCCTCCGGCTTCAAACCAGAATGTTTTTGTGCCTTTACTTTTGAACAAAAGGGTTCTTTCCAATTTGGCTCCTTTGATCAGGATAATAATTTAGGCCAATTAATCAGTCCTAAACTGGCACGCATTTGATTTCAATGTGCTTTTTTTGTCTAAAAGTAAATGCTAATTTCTTTTGCAGTTGCTCCCTGAGTTGTACTAGTAAGGTACCTTCTCCATAACAGTAACAGATCGTTATGGCTGTTGTGTTCTGTATTTAAATTAACAACTTCAAATGGTTCATTGATAGAAGAAGAAAAAAATACTTAGGTAAAAACTTAAGTAAAGTCAGCAGTAAAATTGAGTCTTTTAAGTGGGGCACAAACTGTAAGTTAGTTGCCTTAAGGTTTACAGGATGTCTGTTCAGGACAAATAAGATATTGAATGCATTGGTCAGTTTATAGTGTGATGTTTTTGGACATATTCTCATTGCAGCTCCATACTTGTCAAAAGAATTTACCACCATATTAAAGGAAAAAATTATATATATATATATAAACAACAGAAGTCAAAGCACATTTTTGAACCAGTTCTTCAGTCGTCAGATGTCGTAGGATAAGGAACGCCTTTGACTGTCCTCCAACTAAAGAACAATACCGAGTCCAGGAACACGCTGCGGGTGAGAAGCCTGTAGTCTATAATTACAAAGATCAAGTGTGTGTAAAGAAATGTCACATGTTACTGTACAAAGGTGAAGAATATTTTTTACAAATTCTCGTGTTTTTACGCTCACACCAAATGACAGATGTGAGGTACTATATCATTTTTTTCTTCTAATTAGTTTTACTCTTTTTACTGCTTCAGGGCAAAACATAATAAAGGACATCTAGAGTAAACTGTATTTAACAGTCATCAGGAACATTTGGTTATGAGGACAGAATGACCAGCTGTCCTCTCAGGGCTCTACTACTACACTAATCCAACCACATGCACGTGTCTGTGTGGTAACAAGACCTTCATGATGGTAGTGACCAAAAGGAAAAGAAAATGCAATTTCTCTACGACTGGGAGAAGCCTGTGGAGGTCAATGGAAAAATCAATACCTGACTATCAGTGAGGAACAACATTTTCATTCAATTAACGTCAGCCACAAATATTGAAATAAATAATAAATAAATGACTTTCTAAAACTAAAATTAAAACCAGATTAAATGCAGATATTCTATCAAAGACTGTTGCTTTGCACATTTCACCCCATCTGTATGATAGTATGTTTTTGCCAAGTTGATAAAGCTGTGCTCAAAGGATGTTGGTAATGTCTCTCTATATGACTTTACACACTTTAACTATATTTAATTATTGTAACTTATTACTGTGCCTTCAGACTTTGTCCAAATACTCGTTTTGTGATCGTAATAAAAAGCCGGTACGTGCACTCTGTGACTCTTTAAACACTGATTGTATTTCTGCATCAGCCAGCCAATACAGGGCGGGTGAGGCACAAATAGAGGAGCACATATTTTAACTCCCCCATCTGTCTGTTGTGGAGACGTCTGCTCTCAGCTTCTCCCTCTGTCTGTCCTCCACTTCCCTGGTGGAATAAATTCTGTTGTTCATATTCAAGATGCCTAATGCTCCAACAGTGCCCTGACATTAGGAGGAATGCAATTATGAATTTTATTGTGAGTGGAGAGTGTACACATTGCATCATGATGGGATTCATAAATACGATCTGCTGTGATTGAAGATGAAGCTTTGTGACATTCCATGAATTGTATTCAGGCATCAAATGCATGAGGTGCTTGATGTGAGAGGACAACTGGACAACATGGAATCAGGGAAGGCAGATTATGTTCACCGTGAAGGTTTCTATGGATGAAAACAAGGCCAGTGGAAAGAGCCACACGACGAGTGTCTGTGAAGAACAACATGAGGTGTGCACTTGAAGCATGAGCAAAGCCTAAATGGAACAACATGTTTCCAGACCAGTGGCTTTAGAATCAGCTTACAGCCACGCACCATATGTATCTTAACAGCACCTTTGGAGCCTGTGACTCATCCAGCCCTGCTCTCTTATTGGCCCAGACAAAGTTTCCTTCCTTGTAATTGTTGTGCTGTCATGTTATGACATTTAAAGTGAGCGAGGTGTTAAAACTTCTGAACCATTCAGAAGGTTCTGGCCATCATTCAGAATCCACACTTGCCTATGTAATCTCATTAGTGTGCGCTCCTAAGACGTACTGTACATGCCAGACTCGCCCACATGTGCCATGATTGAGAATGTTTCACTTAGAAAATAGGTCAGCCCCGAGCAATAAGAAAGATTTTGGAGTGGGTGAAATTGTGTTATGACTTGTTTACAGCGAGAGGATGCTTTGAAAGTTGCTTTATCCGAGTCCAGCTGGAAATAGCGTGACAGTTGCTGAAAATGTGTCTGGCCTGAACACTACCAGGATGCAGTTTATGAAGATTAAAAAGCTTACTGCAATTTTTTGAAAAGTAAAATCCCCCCATCATTGATAACTTTATGTATACATGTTCTGATAATTCTGTAAAAATTCCTTCACGTTAATGCTCCTGCAAACCCATCCACAAGGCAACACCTGACTGTGTTTAGATTTGCCATTGGTTCTGACAAGCATGATGTGTGTTTCTATTCTATAAATGTTTCCTCAGACGCCCCCCCATTTCCCAGGGAAGCAGCACTCTGACACACTAAGTATTCAAAGCAGCAGGAAGCCTGTCGACAGTATTTACACATATTACTCGGGTGAAAAGACGGTAGGATCCACAATGAGGTGTGGCACTTCATGGCAACTGCTATAAAAGCGCTGTCAAAATCCAGAAATCCTAAATGTAGAAAGCCTTTGTCACGGACCTCAGTGAGATATCAGAGCTCATCTGAGAGCTTGACACGTTGTGCGGGTGTAGCATTAGCTTCACATTGGAAACATTTTTGTAGCTCTTGCCAAATATGTGTGAAAACATACAACGCCCAGAGCAAAGCTGCTTCAGACAGCAGACCAAACAAGTTTGTAAATCACACCATTTCAATTTGTTCTGCTCGCTGGAGGACAATAGAACTTTTATGACACGTATGAAGAGCACTGATTAAAATCCCCACAAATCAGTTTATTCATCTGTCTATAATGTGATTAAGGAAACCTTTTATGTCTCCCTAACTGCAGCTATCCATTTTAACACAGGAGAACTTCCTATTGGCCTATTGATTCAGCTCAGCTCCCAAGTGATTCCTTCCAACTCATCACATTGATTCTGTCATGGCTGTTTTGGTGAGACAGCACACAGCTAACATGGCCTGCAAAAATTTAATTGTGAGAGCCAATTAAACAAATTAGAAAACAAACCAAATATCCGACTTCATACACAGCAACTGCTGCTACGTCTGATTGGACGTCTAAGAAGAATGTATGAAATAAAGGAGGCAAATACTCAAAATGTTTCAGCACACGTGATTCACTACTGTATATGTACATGTACATATTTATATAAATTACACACTCTACTGTATGAGTAGTCATGGGGCTACAGCTGCTATATAATATTGCCATAAATGAACCACTGCTGTATTGGAGCTATAGTGCATAAATATAAAATCCAACATAAAAAGCATGCTCATATTTTTACATCATGTTTAAAATAATACAATGTTCTGTTTTTTTACGAGAGGGATGCTAATCTCATATTAGTACAACCAAAACAAATAAAAACCCATATTCCAACTGTGCAGCAGTACTTGGGTCAGTGTCTGATTATGTAATTATCTTTCTGTAAAGGAGGTGAAGCGAAGCACACGTTAGCCGCCCTGTCCTTAGCTGCACCCAGGCACAATGTGAATATCTTGAGAACAGATCTCATTCTGGGTTTTTATTCATTGCACTCCACCCT